TTGTCTGTCGAACATTTGATAGGATAGTTAACGGCCAGCTTCTCAACCACCTTGAAGAATCCGGCTATCTCTCCGACAGTCAGCACGGCTTCCGAAGAGGTCACAGCTGCGAATCAGCCCTGGCAACTATTACCCATTTTATCAGTGATCACATGGATAGTCGAACCATGAGAGATCTAATTCAACTTGGCCTAAGCAATGCGTTCGATACTCTCGACATTAATCTCCTGCTTGAGAAGCTCACACAAGCAGGCATACACGGTTTCCTATTCACCTGGATATGAAGGTTTCTCCGGAATTGCAGCCAACAAGTTGTGTACTGTGGGGCACGCTCTACAGACAGGGTCATCTCATCAGGAGTGCCACAGGGCTCTGTCCTCGATCCGACGCTCTTTCTCATGTACAGTCGGGGACAAAAGTCTCCAGGACACGCAAACTGCGACTGAAACGCATTGCTCTGCCATCTGCCGGTGGGTCGCCTGGTTTCGAGATCACAGAAAAGCGCATGCGCGTCCTACTGTGCCTGCCAACATGTGTGCTTTCCCTCTCTTCTGCGGCGCGGCGCCTAACTCGGAATCGGGCGCGTGGTACCGCCTCGGAAATAGCGCTTACTGACATGGCACATATCAAGCAAGAAGTCACGGCATCTCAACTGAGCGATAAGCTCAACTGGTTATAAAGCAAGGTGCGCTGACACGGCGAAATGCGGCGAAATGCCCCTGGCGGTATCTCGAGTTTCGGAATGTGTAGCAGACGCTCGTCAGCCATCAACGCTATCTCCGAGGCGGTGCCACGCGCCCGATTCCGAGTTAGGCACTGTGCCACAGAACAGCGGGAAAGCGCACATGTTGGCAGGCAGAGCAGGACGCGCATGCGCTTTTGTGTGATCTCGAAACCAGGCCACCCGCCGGCAGATGGCAGAGCGATGCGTTTCAGCCGCAGCTCGCACGTCCTGGAGACTTTTGTCCCCGACTGTACGTGAACGACATGCCACGCAACGACTAGTGTATTCTAGTGCAATACGCAGACGATACATCGATCGCGACGACAATTTCGTCCCAGTCTGACGCACGTCACTTGCAAAGCTATCTAGAAGATATAGAGAGATAGATCTCCAGACAACACCTAAGCCTGAGCGCATCAAAGAGTTCCGTGATACGTTTCTCACACTGCAAAGAACCGACAAGCCCTGCATATACTGTAGAAGGCACTCCATTACCCGCATCAGAGCACCTGTCCATCTTGGGTGTCACGTTTTCCCAAAACTTGGATTTTTCCGCACATATTACCGGTGTTATCGCGAAGTCCCGCAGAACGCTTGGCTTCATCACCCGCGTCGCAAGGCCAGGTGGGCCGGCGGAGCTGCAGGCAATATATACATCCTTAGTCCTGCTTTCATTGGAATACTGCTATGCAGTTTGGTCTCCCCCTCAACAGCACAGAATCGAGAGACTGGAGAGTGTGCAGCGCCGCGCAACCCGCAAAATCTGCGCCTGGTCCCCTGGCACAACCGACGTGCCGCACCACACACGGCTCAGAACTCTTGGCTGGCGGCCCCTCAATCAGAGACGGTGGATTTCTCGAGTTCGCGTGCTGTGCCGATTGCTCGACGGATCTATTTCGGGGACTCGCCTATCGGCAGCCGCACGTCTCGGTAGAAGATCAGGTCAGCCCGAACTTCTTCGAGGCAGGACTGTTCGTCACAGCGAATCCCTGCTGCCTGCCGCCATTAGAGACTTTTTGACCATACTATTAGCTTCTCGTAGCCCTCTGCCCACATCACACGATGAATCCCGAGAACTTTGCAAGGTATTTCCTAGACGAATGCCTTCGCGTCTGCTGCGCTCATGATCTTCACTCTTTCACCCCCTATTTCTCTTGAATCAGAATCATCACCGTCGCCATCGTCATCAGCAATATCATCGTCATCACCACCACCTCCATCATCACTTCCATCATAATTTTAATGCTTCTAAAGCTGGGTAGTGCTATAACTCCCAACACACACGGCGGCAGGCTGGCAGACGCACACGCGTAAGGTTTTTGCCTATCTGCTTTGCCTGGCACGCCGCCGTGTGCGCACCAATTTAAGTGGAAATAAATCACTCACTCACTCACTCACTCACTCACTCACTCACTCACTCATTGTGATTTTGGACGAAATGTGTGTTAGCAGGCCCTCTATAAGTTTATCTGAAAAAAAGTTGTTTTCCCTAGTAACAGAGAGAAAATATAGAAATATGGTAGATGTGAAGAGATTGTGTAATAATTCTAAATACAACACTAACTCAATAGTCAGCGCCGAATGAGTGGATTCTTTTTACTGGTGTGCACGCATCAGCGTGAATTTTTTTTTTTTTGAGCTGCAAATTAGAATTATAAACAGTCAACTAACCTAATCCTCCAATTTAAGAAAGGGTATTTTACGTCGGTAGTCCTTCAAGATAAAATTACGAGGCTCAGACTCCTTTACAGGCTGACAAAAAGCCAACTAGAGGTTATGTTCAAACACAACTGAATGATTTCATTGAAAAATTAAAAACAAAGGCAATGTATAATTTATTAGTATCGTAACAACAGCGACAAAGCCGCGTCGGCGGTAACTGTTTTCGATGGCTCCGGTTTTAAAACTGCCTTAACAGTGACAGTATTTTACTATTTGATAACAGTTTATTATTCGCATTCTTAGAATTCGTTCCTGCTTTTGTGTCTGCTTGATATATGTCACCCACTCCCGTCTACAATCTCCACGCACCTCTGAGGATATGTGGCAAATAAAATATAAACTTGTTTAAAGCAGCAAAAGAGATCGCGAAGGGACACCTCACCATTTATATTATTAAAGTTGGCACACACACAAAAAAAAAAAACACGCTGAAAACATTTAAAGGGATTGCCCGGTAGAAACCGGAAGTACTTAAAGTTTTGTGCTCGTTACGTCGAAGGAGCCTTCATGTTCACAAACGTCATTTGTATTCTGATACATAATCTCCGGTTATTGATTAATCCTTTTATGAGCCTATGTACAAAACTGCACCCCGAATTTCGCCAGTGTCAATGGCTGACGTCTGGAGGGGCTGCGTGACGTCACAAAACGCAAATGTTTGTCTGACGATGGGGATAACAGGCGTTGGTCAATTGATGTCTTGTATTTTGTTTCGAATTCTAGTCTCCTAGGCTGTACCCTACTGAAATACTACTCTTTTAATGCAGTTCCCAAGCATGAACAAACACAGCAACGCCTTTTAGCAGGAAATTACTTGCAGACAGCCACAAGCTTCGAGCAAACGTATGCCGTTTCGCGCAAACACAACAGCGACGGCCACCAATCAAACTAGGTGCGCTTGCAAAGCAAAAGAAGCAAATTACGCCTTTGAAGCGGCACCTTGGTATACAAACCGGCATCTGGGTACACATGTCGGCAAATCCACTGGACTGGTCATGAGGCTGCGCGTCGTATTGGTCGTACCCTCGGAGGCGATGTCCGCGCAGGGGGAAGGCAAACGGCGAATCGTTTAAATGCATGTTATCGCTTGACTTGGACGAGCTTGGTGAATCGCAGTCACGCTCCATTTTCACACGCGGGTCAAACAGAATCGGGCTGCACGCGTGCTAAATACAACTTCTGGTCACGTTTCCAGATGGCCTAGCTGTTGGTTTCGGTTTTGCTGCATAATCAAATTGATTGATACAATTCGGGCGAGGAGTGGGTACACGTAGTTTAATGTTGTTGGCACATCATCACACCTCAGATTACGAGCCTCCTGTCCGCTTAGAGCTCAGGTCGTAGCTCTCTCCTGTGAGATGGTCGCTGCATAAGCGGGATCTCGATCTTGACGGGAACCTAGTCTGCGCACGGCGACGACCCTCTTCGCTCGTCACTGCACGTCTCGCGGAAAAGTGTGGAACGTCATGTCTTGGCTCGCATGTGCTGCCTGGTGGTTGTGGTACCCAACCGCGCAACAAAAATCTCACCCAGGCACGAAACAAGTCGAGCACAACAACAAAAACGAAGCACGCTGAGGCGTTCACTCGCAGGCTTGTGTTTTGTGACGTCAGAGCTTCAGTGTTGCCAACGAAAGCACCGTTTACGTCAGAATGCGACTGGAGCAGTATAAATTCACTTACTCACGCAGAGGGGCATATAAAATTCAGATATTGCACGTACGATGAGTCTCGAGGCAATAGCAATAATATCCGATTGTTTTCTCGAATTCAAAATTTGACCGGACAATCCTTTTAAGACTGCTTACGTATAGGAATGCAAAAGTATTTCTACACGTAGTGCTCTCCTACAAGAAGCATCTTTTTCACACGGTGGTGACATCACGCTCCCCCTCTTCGCAGGCGCGGCGCCCCCGCCGGCTCCATGGCTTCCGTGACCAGGCATCTGCGTTGCTGTGCTTCTCTTTGTGTTTTATGTTTCAGGCGCGTCCGACTAGACCTTGAGCGCCCCCGCCGGCTTCCGCGACGAAGCATATGCGTTGCTGTGCTTTTTTGTGTGTTTTGTTTCTGAGGCCCGTCCGCTTTGACCTTGAGCGGCGCGTGCCTATGACGTATTTTTATGGTCATGTCTCGGGCAACACGCCGACACCGACTTTCGCGTAATGGGACATCTAACGCTTTTTTTTTTAATTTTTGAGTAAAAGCACATTGTCCCGAAATTTTCAGAAAAGATGCCCGGTAATATATGGTTACAACACCCTTCTGTTTTAGCCGGGGCTAAGCACTGGCGGAGCATCGGGTGTTGTAATCGCAGTTATAGAAACCATCTATTAAAAATCTCTATTAGCTTCCTTCAAAAAGAACGTCCGCTCGTACTTGCCGCATAGGTGGATGTATGATTGGACAAAAGTTAGCCATTGCTAAACTCTACTAACACCACGAATGGGGCGTCGTATTACATAAAATAATTTTTAAGGGCCCATAGCATAAAATTTAAGTATTTTTTGCCACCGAGAGTTGTTTACCCGCTTAAACAACAGCGCTTACAAACTTACCAAAACGGCGTCTTGTTTGCATCTTTCCACGGCTTTCCTCAAGCTCTGCTCTTTTTCTTCCCTGCTTGCCAAGGGGCTGTCAAAGATCTTGCAGAAGGAGAGGCTCTCTTCCGTGGAGGCGTGAAATGGATCAACTCTGCCGTGAAGGAATTGACGAGTTGAAGCCGCTCCTAACACCATGACTGGGTTGCCAATACACCTGGTAAAAAATATACCGACTTACACATTGTTCCTGAACACGAATACCAAAAAAAGCAGATAAGTGAGGAGTGAATCAACAGAATTTATGAAGTTGAGATAAACAGAACAGTGATTTGATCTTTTATACCGTTATTTTTATAATCACTTAAAAAAAAAAAAAACGCCTGCATCATCGTTTTCGTATTCCGTTTGGCATTACCAAGTACCCCGCCTGTTGTGCGACAGCAAGTAAATCAGTAGACGTTCTCGTGAAAAACAATTACTCTTTTTTTACGGGGATACTGCAAGCAAGAGTGGATGTAATATCTATACAGAACAAAAATGCAGAAATTATCCAATGAAATAAAGAGGGGAAGAGAGGCAGGCTTGAAATATGAAAATAATTTTTACAAAACAAAAAGGAAAAAGTACCGTGCTCACCGAAACGAAATGCACCAGTGGAGCGTGTGAGAGAAAGAGGGATGTGTTCAAAAAGAAAGGAAGCCTGGAATATGGAGCGTGCGGCTTCGCGAATATACAGTTACACCAAAGATTCCGGGTGTACCTTAGATTCCAGGAGTAGCGAGGCCATGCACTCGCCTGGTCCACCTCGTTTTCGTTGAGCGTTGTACATTGTGATATTGATGAGCACGGAAACACTTGATAAGTTGAGAGCGTTGAGACCGGAAGTCTTACTTTCAAATTGGTTCAATGATTATGATGTTCAATGAGTGGAAAGCAAAATATAGAATGTGTCACGGAAAGTTTAAATCCGGGAGGCATTTAAGCTAGTCAGAATAAACCACTTTGCTTATACTACGCGACACATTACAGTTTAGAGGGGCTGTGCAACGATATTTGGTAGCAATGTTGGCACTTCGTTATTTTAGCCCCATTTTGGAATACAAGAAACTTTTTCCAGTTTGCGAGCGAGAAAAATATTTTGGTGTATCGCTCGTCAAAATCTTAGGCGCTGGAGATAATCAGCCATCTGACTTCAGTCCTCTCATTCACAGGTGCAGGAACTCTGCACTTCGAAGAATGCTTGTATATTACTTTGTTCGCGTTCATATCTCTTCTTGCCCTATTGAAAGTCCGTCTCTGGGGCCCACCAGGATTTCTTGAATGTTATTAAATACTCTTCAAAAACTTTTAGGTGTCAGAAATGTCCGTCGAACTTTTCTAAAAGACCCGACGTACCCTTCAAGAAGTTCTAAATTCTGTAAGGGACCCGTCATAGTTTTTGAGAGGCCTGTGGGGTCTGTCCCAGACTTTTCCGTGAAAGCACGGCACTTATCAATATCATTTTAATGGGTCTGTGGGAGAGATCAGGATATATGCATCGGAGTGTTGTGTACTTTTTTTTTTATTATTTCGGTTGCCTGTTTTGAGAAAGTGCTTCACTTTCGGTGTGTTCGAAATTAACTTTGTGGTGACTGTGACACATATGAATCTGTTACCGACGAAGGTCGTCGCACAGTCGTGTTGATATATTTTATAGTGCCTCTAATTGGCGCTGGACAAAACACAAGTCTCACTGCGTTGGGCGTTCGATGAGCTGGTTGTCATCGCGTTCGACGTAACAGCGCGCCCGACACAAACACACAACCAAAAGAAGCGCTCACTCAGCGCTAACTTACAACACTTGGTTTGCGACTTCATAAACACTGCATATGTCGGTTTCATTTTGTTGTTGTTTGATTTGCTATTTTTAGGCGGGTATGCCGTATCATAACCTACACTTCGCCTCAGAACATATCAGGCCACCCAGCAAACAGCGCGAAGGACGATAACGATGAGCGCCGCTAATTTGCACGCGAACACTGGCAGGTGGCACAAGGCACCTCCCAATTTCTGGTGCAGAGAGCATGCGTACTCTACACCGCCCCAATGGCAGCTCAAAGTGTCATTACAATAAACGCTAGAGGCTCAGCTGGCGCTAGTGTCTATGGGACTTCCGGTAGCAAATTGAAGCAGACAGCGAGCAGTCTACTTTCCCAGTCTTCCTATGTATTCCTATGTGAAAGCGTAAGTGATAGTTTTCTCTTCGCCATTGCATAATACAAATCAGCGTAGTTTCTTTAAACGTAACGGCACCGTGTAACTTTGTTCACATCATAAAGTGTAATTTATTCAGTTGATGCGTTTTTATAGATGTTTAACTTAATAAAACTTGAGGCAGAGGTCTATGTTGTACTGCGTGATATGTCAATACAAGCTAAGAATTCAATAAAAAAATGAAACGTTTCGAATTGTCTGTAACGCCGAATGTGAGCGCAGCTCTTAAGGAGGAGAAAGGTAGAGTATGCGCCTCCTCCTTCTTCACTAAACTTAGTGGGAATGTTGGCAATGTTAGTTGCTTGGACGTCACGTGTTTCGCATAATGACATCGTACGTGGTTTCACGACGGTAACCTTTTGACGTTTCCATCGTGACCGTCGTGGGGGTTTTCCTCACGAGGGTAACCTAACCCTCACAAGAGTTACCCTGACGAGGGCAACCCTCGTAAGACTCACGGGGGTAACCCTCACAAGGGTTACCATTACAGGTGTAACCCTCACGGGGATTACCCTCACGAGGGTAACCTCTGTGAGTGTAACCACCGTGAATGCTATCCCCTTTGAGGGTTACACTCACCCCTTGCGGGTAACCCTCACAGGGGTAACCCTGACGGGGTAACGCTCACAAGGCTTACCCTCGTAAGTGTAACCGTCGTGAGGGTTACCCCTTCAGGGCTACAGCCTTGAGGGTTACCCTCATGAGGGTAACCCTCAATGCTGTAGCCCTCAAGGGGTAACCCTCACGACGGTTACCCTCATGAGGGTAACCCCCGTGAGAATTACCTTCGTGAGGGTTACCCTCATAAGGGTTACACTAGCTCGTAAGGGTATCCCTCTTGAGAATTACCCCAGTGAAGGCAACCCTCACGGGGGCTTCACGTGACGTCATGAGGGCTACCCTCACGAGGTTAACCGTCCTGACGTCACGCGTGACGTCGCACGTCCCATAATGCAACGCTAAGAAGTTGTGTTGCATATGAGAAACGTTCTAGCGTCACAAACGTTTAGCGTTACACTCAATTTCCAGACACCAGACGCCTACGTTCAAGGAGCCCTGCATCAGGCGCTTTAACGCGTACAATGTGTAAACCTGATAACTGTTCCAACAATGAAGCGATACTGCCGCTGACCGTGCTGATAATCCAGGCGATCTTCACACGCCTTCTATTCTAGTGAGCTCCACCCACACAATGTGTACAGGTGGTCGAGCTACTCCTACCCTACTTCACTGCTCCTCGCCTACCCCTCTGGTCACATGACCTGCCGTAATCCAATCAGCGTCGAGAACCTCACTCCTCCCTTCCCTCCAGTCAACCAATCAGTGTCGAGCCTACCGGCCACGTTTTTTCTGGGCTTTACAAAATGCCGAACACTTTGACAAAGAGCGTTTCACGTTAATAGCACCTCAAATCACGGGGATGTGTCGATTATTCCTGCTTCCGGTGTCCGCACCATTCGATCGCACGATCATCAGCTCCTCTGTAGCGTCAACAACGGCCCTTGGCGGCCGCGGTTTTTTAGAGCGCAGTGGTATGGAGGTCGCCGACGCGCCGACGCTAGCGAGCTCCAAAGTCCAAAGCGACCGAGCGAGAGCAACCGTTCGCGCGCGGAGCCCCGTCCCGCCGCTTCGCGCGTAACCTGAGCGCCCCGTACCAGAGGCGCCTTTCTTTTATTTCGTTTTAGATTTAATAAACGAGACGTCAGTCTTCAGCCTGACTCCGGCACGAAAGGTTGTCCATGTGTGCCCTTCGCAAAAGAAGGTAAAACGAAACATGGTGTCAGAAGTGGGACCGCTCCGCGAGTCTACTAATAATTAGTATAGCGCAGGATCGTCTACAAACGAAGGGACAATGGACAAGCCCTCAACTTCTGCCGACAACGGTGCTACCGAACAAACGGTAACGGCAACTTTTCGCATCTCGCCACCCGAAGCCTTCAGTTTTACAACACCTAACGAATGGCCGGCGTGGAAGAAGAGATTCAAGCGCTTCCACAGTGCATCAGGACTGGCATCTCAACCATCATCACACCAAGTCGACCCTCTCATCTACATCATGGGGTCACAAGCGGAAGACGTCTTACAGACCTTCAAGTTGTCCGACACCGAGGCCCAAGGTTTCGAGAAGGTGATGGAGAACTTCGAACGTTACTTCATTCCTCGTCGAAACGTGGTGTATGAGAGAGCCATGTTCAGCATAAGATCGCAACTGGAGACGGAAACCGTCGAGGAGCACATCACTGCTCTCCATGGATTAGCCACTACGTGCAACCTATGGACCACTGAAGGAAGAATTGATCCGCGACAGGCTAATTGTTGGTCTTCGGGACAGCAGGACTTCAGAAAAACTTCAACTGGATCCTGATCTGGACCTCCAGAAGGCCATCGCTGCTGCGCGACAATCGGAAGTGATTAAGAAGCAACAAGTGGAACTCCGACCGACAAAAGAAAAGGATGCCAACGTTGACCGTATAGCAGCCAAAAATGGGACAGCAGCAGGACCTGCTCAGCGAGGAATTGAAAGTTCAAATATTCGAACTCCTACTAAGAAGACCGCGACACCCAAACCAAAAGGCAAACCGCGCCGTTGGTGTGGTCGAGAAGCTCACCCGAGGAGCGTGTGTCCTTCGAAGAATGCAGGCTGCAACAGGTGTAAGAAAAAGGGACATTTTGCAACTGTCTGCAAATCTTCAACTACCGTGAACTCCCTCGTACACGAACAAGGATTCGTAGGAGCTGCAGCTTCTCCTCAAACAGCAAATTGGGACATCGAGATATTCGTCGACGAAACTCCTGTTCTTTTCCGAATAGACACTGGAGCAGACGAAACGGTGTTACCAGCTGCCATCTTTCAAAAGGTCTTCGCAAAGTGCCACAAGCTCTCCGAGCCCCAACGCCGACTTCATGGTCCAGACGGACGACCCCTTAAAGTCATGGGATCAGCTTGGATGAAGCTCGACT